AGAGAAAACATTATTTCTGTTGCTACTGAATTAAGGAATTATTATATAAATCATTTTTTAAAGAAAGGAGGAAAAGATTGTGCTTGCATAATACCTATGCCCTACTCTGTGTGTAGGATGAGAACTGAAAAATATGTTAATTTTTCTGTATAACACCAGATGTTCATTTACCTATGGAACAGACCCTTTTTTTCTCCCTGGAAACTAAAATTTGGATGCCTAAAAGACTTCATGGATTATCCATAAGCATTTAAAGTGAGTGTTCACAAAACTCATCTTTCCAGCTATCAAATTCAAACATCAGTTAACTGCTAGTGTCCTAACTTAATCAGCTTTACCTTTTTGTCTAAGCTAAGGTCCAACTTAATCAGATAACAGGTTTCCTTAAAGTACATAATCTGCAAATGCACCTTCTTTGATACACTATTCAAAGGAGACTCAGATTTTTTCTATTACTTATTTAAAAAATAGTGGTTATATGAACAGTGTGTTTCATGGCTATACTAAAACCCTCACAATAGGTTATTTTAAGATGGCTAAGGATAGATAAATAGTGAGTATTGTATAAATTGAGATGACGTTAAAATTTTTAATGGAATTTGTAATTAGAAAAAACTTTAAAAGATGTATAGCTTATTTCCATTTTCACTTTTTTTCTGCTTTAGCTAGAAACACTTCAGGACATGAAGTCATTACTTTAGGCATAGATATAATTATTGATTGTTGTACAAACTAATTTAGTTAAAACAAATAGCCTGTTGGATTTTGCCATGTGATCAAATTGTTTTATGAATTATTTAAATTTTAGGTTTGAACAGACATGTTTTTATTGAGCACCTATTATGTGCCAGATATCCTGAGATACACAAGTCCAAAGAAAACCCATCGTTCGACCAAATATTACTTATTGTTTTCTATGTGTGAAATTTCCTGTTTGAGGATTTCTCCTAACAAAAGTCACTGAGCCTAATATATATTCCCAGCAAATTTCTTTGTACAACACCAGAATCCCCTCCTTCTGCAAGCATCACCTTAGGCAAGTTTGTATTTTTATTTTATTTTATTTTATTTTATTTTATTTTATTTTATTTTATTTTATTTTATTTTATTTTATTTTATTTATTTTATTTTTTGGGGGGGAAGAGAGAGAGAGAGAGAAAGGGAGAGAACGAGAACGAACATGAGCTGGGAAAGGGAAGAGAGAGAGAATTTTAAGCAGACTCCATGCTGTCAGCACAGAGCCTGACATGGGGCTCAAACTCTCAAACCATGAGATCATGACCTGAGCCAGAATCAAGAGTCAGACGTTTAACCAACTGAGTCACCCAGGCACCCCCAAGTTTTTATTTTTCAAACGTCTTCAAACTTTAGTTTTGTCTCCTGGGGATAATAATGGTACCTACTCTTGTTTTCAGGATTGAGATAATCATGTAAATTACTGAGCACCTTTTCGGGTCCTTATTAAGAGGTCAGTACTTAGGGAGGAGGGTGTTTAAGGTGGGGAAACAGGGAACCATTTAGGCAGCTCTTTGCAATTTGCTGTATTGCTGTGGAGTCTTAGGAAGGTAATGACAATTGTTTTTCTTTCATGTGATGGCATATGTAGAAATAATTTTTAAAATTGAAACAAATGAAGTTGAGAACTTTGTTCAAATTGGCACTTTCCCCGGGAGGTGGAAAATTGAAGTAATATGCCTTTCGGTTGACTTTTACCTTGGGACTTTTGCATTTGGCACTGGCCATTAAAGGAGACCCATGAAAAGCTGGAGGAAGTAATGGGGCATTTGGGTGGCTCAGTCGGTTAAGCATCTGACTCTTGATTTTGGCCCAGATCATGATCTCACTGTAGGTTTGAGCCCTGCATCATGCTTGGTGCTGACAGTGCGGGGCCTGGTTGGGATTCGGTTTCTTTCCCTTTCTCTCTGCCCCTCCCTGCATGCTCGCTCTCTCTCTCTGTCTCTCAAAAATAAATAAAGAGCTGGAAGAAGTAATAAATACGAAGCTCTCTGATTATTTAAGTAATACATGTTCGTTGTAGAAAATTTGGAAAACAGGGGCGCCTGGGTGGCTCAGTTGGTTAAGCGTCCGACTTCAGCTCAGGTCACGATCTCGCGATCCGCGAGTTCGAGCCCCGCGTCGGGCTCTGGGCTGATGGCTCAGAGCCTGGATCCTGCTTCCGATTCTGTGTTTCCCTCTCTCTCTGCCCCTCCCTCGTTCATGCTGTGTCTCTCTCTGTTTCAAAAATAAATAAAACGTTAAAAAAAAATTAAAAAAAAAAGAAAATTTGGAAAACATAGGCACATGGAAATCTAGGTGATGCTTTTTTAAAAAAATGTTTATTTATGTATGTATCTTGAGAGAGAGTGTGTGAGCCTGATGTTGGGCTCAATCCCATGAACTGTGAGATCGTGACCTGAGCCGAAATCGAGTATCGGTCACTTAATAGACTGAGCCACCCAGATGCCCTTAGGTGATACTTTTTTAATGCTAAGTGTGGAATGTGTTATGGTACTTAAAACCTGCTTGTTGGAGAGCAACAGCTTTGTGACAAAGTGGAATTTAATAAGTTTTCCCAAATCATCTACTTAGGGGTGTAGCAGTTGGTTTTTGCCCTGCTTGGATGCTGGTCCTGTGTACATCCTTCACTTCTTTTTGGAGGTCAGACTCTTGAAATAAGATGGCAGATAATGGAATGTTTTTAATCCTTCCATTGTTCCAAGGTACCACTGAAGAAGCAAATCTCTCCATGTGGTGGTTGCATAGAAGGGATAGTGAGTGGACTACCTCCTGATTTCGGTGGTCCCACTTGCTTTGAGGCTTTATGGACAAGGGATAGTCTAGTGGTTGATACGGTAGTCTATTTCTACTCTTACTCTAGTTTACTTAGTAATTAGTAACAAGTGGTAGTAGTAGGAGTATTCTACTTCCAGTTTCACTTTTTTACTTAAATTCTATGCATATTTTTGAGCACCTGTTCTATCATGATCTGTTTTAGTGGAGGGCACAGTGATGAGAGGGAAGAAAACAACAAAACTGGGAAGAGATTGTCACTCCTTCTTTCTAGGAACCTATGTTTTAGATAGAGAGGGTGACTATACACTTTGAGAATAGTTGAATGAGACAAGATAGTATTAAATAAGTTTAAATGGCAAGAGTGATGGTGTTTTAATTCGACTTTAAAATAGGGGTGGATAGTTACACACTAAGAAAAGGTATCCTTTTTTGGGTCGTTTTTGTGTGTTTTGAGGAGATGAGAGTAAAATAAAACAGACAAAAGCAGATAATCTTGAATGAGTTTGACATCTTCCCATCACTGATGAAATCGATTTTGTTGGATTCGAGAGTGTTTTTGGAGAGTAGCTATGGGTGAACATCCATTCTGTGTGATGTTTTATGTTTGTATCTCTTTTTTATACTTAGTTGTCAGACCATGAAACAGAGGGTGTGTCTGCCTTATATCTGTCTCTTATTTTGTATAAAGTAGATGCTGAGTAACTGAAGCTGAGTAGATAGTTGTGGAGTACCTTAATTACCAAGGGCATGGATCCATGCACTATGGGAGACCAGGGAAAGTTCTGTGCGCTGATATAACAGAACCACCATTTAAAAGTGATACAACAACAATATGTAGGGAGGCCTGGAGCAAGGGCAAATGGGTAACTGCTTAATTAACACTTGTTGTGCACTAACTATGTAACATGTCCTGTTCTAACTGCTTTACATGTTAACAGTTAATCCTTAAATAACTATTTAAGATAGGTGCTTATTTTTCCCATATTAACCTTTGAGGAAATTAAGGCACAGAAAGATTAGATT